ATTTGTTTTCATTCTTATGGTTACCCCATCCGCTTTTCCGAGTGAAAGGCACTTTATGAGCTTGTGGTACTCCCTTGAATAATATGCAATAATGGCGAAAGTTTTTGAACCGTTTAGTCACTGAGGTGGGATATTGTTTAAAGGTTTTCTCATTTAAGTTGAAAACTATTTTACCATTCAGATGTAATATAATGCTGGTTTGCAAATTATTCAACACACAACTTATTAATTAAAAACCGTTTTCAATAATTATTAATGAAAAGGAGTTACAGAATTGGATAAAGCTCTGAATTCCTTGACTAATTGAGGCACAGAAAGATTTTTATTACACATACGAGTAACATGCATTGGTATTTCATCGAACTTAATTGAATAAAAGTTGAACAAAGCCAATTAATAAACGAAATTTATATACGAAGCCACATATTCATAATTATTGTTATTCAGATTGTTACATCCTTGTAAATTATATGGAAAATGCCCCAGAGATAACAACCTTGGCAGATAGATCATAACCCAATCCATTTCGATTGAATGAGCCGCCAACATCCATTACAGATACCTTCCTTAAAATCTCTCCCCTTTTTATCCACTTTGTTCCACTTGACTTGAATCCCTTGGCTGCTTTCTTTGGGTCAGCTCCTCGTTGGCCACCAAACTGATTAGGAAAGCCAACGCAAAAATAAAGGATAACGAATCGATAGCAAGGGTGGCAAATATGGGGGAAACAAGGGTAGTCGGTCTGAGGGACAGCATGGCTTGCACCTCGTATTAAGGAGGGGGCAATTTATGGCCACACTTGGGGGAATACCGAAAACGAAATTGCAAATATTTAGCTATATACTTATACGGCAACGCACGCGGCTACATATATACACTTGAAAAAATGTCAAGGGTTTGATTATTATACCTATTACCTTATTCAATGACCATATAATGGCACATCATACCATTGCATATCATATCATATCACATATCATGACATGATATTGTCGTACAATATCATACCACATTATACCGTAACATATCATATCATAATATTTCACCTTCCTGAAATTTTATTTTATTAATTTCACGTTCCATTTCTAATCAATCTGCACGAGCGAGATTCACAAAGCCCAGTGACGCACGAAAGTTCACATACACACATACATGCGCAAATAACTTTTTGCATCGTCGATCGCGGGCAAAAGGTACGAGAATGAGCAGATCAAAAGAGAACAGAAAAAACTGTTCTTTGGCTGAGCGCAAGCAAAATTTGTATAAGAGCAATTCATCAGTTGCTCTCAGACTTTTTGCTCGAAGCCTGCGAGCGAAACAGTTATTTTGCGAGAGCACGAATCGGTTAACAGTTATTTGCGAGCTATGCTTTTTACTTTACTTTATATCGCTTATTACCATATAATATCATATCATACATGACGTGTTGACATGTTACATCATATCATATCATATCACATATCATATCTTAATTTCCAATGATTATTGCTTATCAGACACCATTATAAGAATACTTAATTAAGTGAATATTTTAACAATAGTTCTTAACAACATTAATTAAGCTAAGTATGATATTATATAATTTTAGTTTTAGGAATAACAGCTGTTATCGTGTTCTTAACAGCATCAGAGATTACCTGAATGTTCGATAAAATAAACCAAATTCCAACTAATCTCTGACCACCGATTTTGCCAAGTGTATGCCTGGCACGAGTGCCCATGTGTTCGTTTGTATGTGTATGTATGTATGTGTGTATCTGTCTATTGCTCATGTCTATGACAGCGGAGGCGAAGCCGCAGCGACGTGCCGCAAAATATTCGCCAAAAGCATGCAACCCAAATTGGAGGGACGGCTAGTGGGGGGCGTGGTGGTTGCATTGGGTATGCCGGCCTTTGCAACATGTTGCCTTTGCCTGTTGTCTCGCTATATTGTTTCAACGGCGAGCGCATCAATTTCTAGACAAATTCGGCACACACACTCCCACTCCCACTTCCACCGAAAAGACAAAAACAAAAAAAAGGAAAATAGTTAAAAGAAAGACCCCCAAAAAGCGGCGAATGCAGTGGGTTGTAGGTGGATCTGACTGCGCTTCATGTGTGCAATATCAAATTTGAGAACCCAAGCACAACACGGACGGCCGCAGACACAGACGCAGACTAGGAGCCGTATATAGAGAGTCGGAATAGGAAAGGCGGACGCCAAGGATTCCCTCGATGCAGGCGCTTAAGAAGTTTCAGACATGAAATCAATTTGTCTTCCAACTCCCACGAAAACGAGCCAAAAACGGCAAATGCAACAGCAAGAGGGGAATCCCCGATCCAGGAACCCAAAAAAGGAATGAACGCAGCCAGCAAACTGCGGCGACGTCTTTCAGGTATTATCAAGTCGAATCGGGGATACTCTTGTTCTTAAGTTAAATATGTAAATGGTTATATTTTTAAAATTTTCAATTCTTTTCTACAAACTTTAGCATTTTTCACAGTACTTGAGTTGGAGTCCTTAGCTTGGAATACCACTTAAACGATCTTACATTGGTAATAGGCTCCCTTTAAACTAAATTTGGGAAAGTACAAAAATTTAAGGAGCACTCACTAGAATTCCTAACGTCTTAAAATACGTTTCCTTCAAACAGTTTTCTAGTCTATATACACACAGTTCTCTCTTAATTGTTGATTCATAATCTAATATTCCCTAATGAAGCAGCCAATTGAAAAGGTATCATTCCGGTTTATTGGCACTATAGTAGGGATTATAATTAGTTAACCAAATACCAGAGAGCCCCTGCCACTTTCAAAGCAGCTCTTAAAGGGCATCAGATGGGCAGGCAGTCAGAGAAGGACTCGCATCCACATCCGCATCTGCAAGGTTCGAGTCGGAGCAGGAGTCGGAGTCAAAGGCAGTCATGTGGCAACTCGCATACTGGGATCCACACATGTGAAACGGTTTGTGGTGTTGCAATAACTTGTATTTTAAGTTTACTCACTGCTGGGATTCAAAATTTAATTTCATAGTGCGATGCGTTGTTATTATTTTGCATAATAACATTTCTGGCCCCAGTTCGGCTCACTCAACCGAACTCACTGATGGTTTGGGGCTCGAAATGGGTGTTCGGTTGGGTTGGGGGCTCGGTAGTCTGGTGAACTGGTAAACTGGTAGTTTGCCAGTGTTCGGGAGTGCAAATCCGAAATTGGAGCTGGCCTGCGGACTGACCGATTGTGCAATCGAATCAGGCCTATTAGACCCCGTTCGGCGTATTAGCAGTACGTACCGGATGGAGGGAGCTGATCCATCCCACACCCGTGGCCATGCCCATGTCCATGCCCATGCCAAGCGGACCTCGACACCAGACACTAAATGCCTCATCAGCATTCCGGTGAGTGTTTATCTGAGTGTGTGAGTGGATTTGCGTTTGGGTTAATCAAAATGTGACCGATGGCAGCGACAGTTGACCGCAAATCAACGGAACGTCCGGGCGGCCTATTAACCCAATAAAGCATCCCGTTGTGGCTTCTTTTAAAGCATCCCTACTTGTCAAGCTACAAGAATTATAAACTTTATATTAAGTTTATTCTTAGATCTATTTACAGAATGCTTTTCTTCGTACTACTTCAGATATGTTTCTGGAAACCTTTGCTAGATTTTGAATATAAGACTTGCACTGTAAATACCAAAGTGAAAGGGAAACCTCATTCGATCCAAGCCAAACTAAAAATTAACAACTTATAGAAATCAACACTTCTTCTACTGAGCTATTACATAAATACAGAAAAGTATCGTGGTTTTGTCAGAACGACTTCTAAGCTGCCACATAACGGCTACCACATAGAAAAATAAGGTGCTGAAAAGGGAAAACCCAGTCCGCCAAGTTCGTTTTAGAGCGGCGAAATTGCCTTTTTATTGACAATTCACAGCACGCGCCGTGCAAACAGATCATCAAAGGTTATTACGAGTACGGAAAAGGACCTTTTGTTGCTGTTGCAAATAGATTCATAAATAAAACTACAGACCGACAATCGTGAGACACAGAAAGGGAGACGGAAAGAAAAGAAATCCTGCAAGTGAAAGTGTTAGCAATTTTTAAGGGCCTGGGCGGGGGCACACACTTGCTGCAAGGATACAGGATATATGCATGTCTCCGCGGGATAAAGGCAACTTCCAGTCTGAATGTCAAAGTTTGAGCCTGGCAGTACTCTGAAATATTCATAAGAGTCTACACTGAGAAAAACACGGACTTTTGTTCGCATGAAAGGAGGAAACGGTTTAAAAATATAAAAATAAGGAAAGGTGGAAACTTAAACTCCCAATCCATAAGTGAAACCAGGAAGGAAAAGATTCAAATATTTTTTAAGTGTAAGAAAGACTCCAGACTTTAACACCAACCACCGCCCGCCCTCTGGCAAGTAAAAAACTCTCACACAGTCATAAAGCAATAAAGCGAAATCATGTGCAGAAATTTTTATAAGTTGGGTGTATCATCCAAGAGCCAAATGCTCCGGGATCTGTGGAATGTGGCTGGTACGTACGGGGGCCAGGCGAGTGCAAGGACTTTCCACTTTCTTTGGCCAAATCCCAGCGAAGAGCTTAAGGTTTCAGCTCAATTGTTTTGCCCGACTTTATTTCATTGCCGTTTTTATATTTGCACTCTCTGGGTGGGTTAAGAAGGTCTTTGAGCGAAATCCAAATGCATATTTAAGGTTAAAGAAATCAATGGGGCTTGAATCTAATAGTTATGGTAAGTAAGTAAGAGGGAAATATTAAAGCGAAAACAGTTTGAAAGTGTTTCACGTAAATATAGAAAATGCTATAGCCCCAAGGTATTTCCGTTATGAACGGCTTACACAACCCGAGTTGATGCAGTCGCTAGCATCGCTGTTTACGTTAGAGTTGATGTTTGTCCATGGAAAACACGGGACTGCAATAACACCTGCATTCGATCCGATTCCATTCAGATCCCTGAGGTATATATAGGGCTCATGGGGAGTTTGTTAAGTCAGTTAAATTTGCTAAGTCAATCATCTACCAAAACCAAAACAATCAAAATGCGCGTCTTCTTCCTCGTTGCTCTGCTCGCCATGGTGGCTCTGGTTGCTGTCCAGGGACATCGTCCTCATGGACCTCCGCAGGGTGGTCAGGGGCCACCTCAGGGATCAGGAGGTCAGGGACCACCCCAAAGACCTCCTCAGGGACCTCCTCAGGGACCTCCCCAGGGACCTCCCCAAGGACCTCCTCAGGGCGGCAACTCATCATCCTCGCAGGAGTCTTCCTCCCAGGAGGACTCCAGTGAGTCTTCCAGCGAGTCGTCCAGCGAGGCATCCGCCTAGGTTCCTCGCTGCGTTAACTCGATCGCCGAGTCCTTTAAATAAAAACTTTCAAAACACTTTGAATAAAGATATATATATTCTGTTTATTTCAAAACAAAGACCGTGTACCGATTCCATTAGCCAGGGAAGTTTCCATTTCGAAATCCGAGTAATGGTGACTCCTGGCAGGGGAATGGAAATGAGTCTGTGAATGGGGGCGTGTCTCAAATCGGCTGCCTAAATAAGAAATCATTTTATTTGAAAAGTTTCCTTTTTGGCACGCCCCCACTGCCACCCTTCCACTTTTCGCTGGCAGAAGGCGGCGACGTCTGCGTTGGCGACACCAGCAACAGCAGGCGAAACGAAAACAACGAAAGCAACGGCGGTACAACTAAGCAGAGACAACAACAATAAGGACCACCGAAAGCGGTACGATGGGCATTGAATTCGAAGGACCAACTCGACTTTGAGGTACTCCTTACCCGTGCAATTAAATTGGTCTTACAAATCTGTGCAAGTTTAAAGGGTTTTTATGAATAAAAGAAATACTTTTAATATCTTCTAAAAAACTGCTATTATTTTTATATCATTCTATAATATTATGTAAAATTTAAATCATACATTCCAACTATAGATATATTATTATATTCAAATTTACATAAAGATCCAATAAAGTTTCCATTTTCAGAAGCTATTTAGTCGAATGCAATAATTCAGTAAAACTCTTTATTTCAAAATTACACCCATTTCATACCAATTTATCAAACTAAAATATATTTGTATTTCCTTTTTTTAAGGGGTATTTGTATAGTCGATATCCTGTCAAAAAAAGGGCTACCAAAATAAGAGCAATGCGATGAATAGCAAAGGCAACAAAGTTAAACTGTAACAATAACCAAAGTCAAAGTTTGTCGGCAAAGTTTTCGCCTTTTTGGTCCTTGTTGCTCTCATTGTTGTTCTTGTTGTTGTTTCTGCATGCGTGTGCCAGTCTGTGTGCCTGTGTGTGTGTGTGTCCACAGGATACAAATTCATTTCAATTGGTTATATGTAGAGAAATGGGTTTGAGTAGCTCGGCTGAAGGAAGTTGAAAAGTGGGAAAGGCGAGGAATCTGTGTAAAATGAGTTTGGCTTTTTTCTTCTTCGGATTTTATTTCATTTTATTTTATTTTATTTGTTGTTGGCATTGCTGTTGTACTTTTCAAGATGAAACAAGTTTCACGTGGCCTGGGTCCTTCCCCTGGGCCGGTAAGCCATCCTGCAGAAGGATTCTGGGCTATGGATTCTGAATTCTGGGCCAGGACATGCCGCATCGCATACCTGCAGACTTCTTTCGCTTCACTTTCTTTTGCCAGCGAAATGCCAAAGAAATGCAAATAAAACTTTTCTTTTGTTTTGCTTTTGGCTTTTTGCCCGTCGTGGTTTAGCAGCCTTAACCCTTACAGGGCCCGCACACCCATCTTCCTTCCACCGAAAAGCAGCAGTAGCAGCGACAGCAACAGCAACAGCAACATTGAAAATCCAGACACAAACAACAGCAACAAAAAACTAAGTGTGGCAATTTTAATTTCACTCAAAATGCTACGAGAATCGTTCAAAATGAAAATGCTTGAAAATGCACGGCGAAAAGTTGATGGGTTTACCCAGAAATTAAGGTTATTTTTAAATATTATTAAATATTATATTTATTATTATTTTTTTAATATATAATTTTAATGATGTAAAAGGCTTTTCTTATATTCTATTCAATATGAACCACCATCACGAGCCACCTTAAAAAAGGGTAGTAAAGTACTAAAAGGTAAGTAAAGTCTTAACCTAACAATTTCGTGTTACACTGTTCCAATAAACATTCAATTTAAACTCTCAAATTAGTCTTAATATATGGCTGTACCACTTTTTCCCCACGTGTATAGCAGATAGTTTCCCTGTCTCCATCTTTTTACTCCAACCCCACATCACCGAAAAAAAAATAACCCTTGCATTTGCTAACTGTTCATTACCAACATTTGAGTCTCGCCCTCTCACTCGCACACGGGCACACTCGCACACACGCACCCACAGACACACACGCACACAGCCAGAGGCATTTAGAAAAAGTGTAGACAAACAGCAATAGAAGCAACACGAGCAAAAACTTAATTAAGCATTTTGTTGTACGATGCAGCAGCAACAAAACAAATTCCTCTTTAAATAAAGCACCGAAGCAATTTATTCCAATTAACAACAACAACTTCATGGCATGCATATGTGCGTGTGGGGGGGAGCTGAGAAGGGCAGGAATGCTACCGGCATCAGATGGAAATAATTGAACAAAAACACTTTCCAACACTGCGAATGACAGTTGCCCAAATTCCTTTAAATTATACTCTGCCAGAGAAATGGTAGGTATATGGTTATGAATATATAGATCATTATCGTAAAAGTAAAGTTGGTTTAACTACTACTACTACTCTTTCCAACACTGGAAATTACAGTTTGGAATTACAATATGGTTTATTGGGAGGAATGTGCTTATGAGGATACAGATCATTATCATAAAATATGTTAAGAATTTGTTATCTATATAGATCTAGGACCTATACTACTACGACTCTTCACAAAACTGCCAATGACAAGAGTTTCGTTGCACAGACAGGCTATGTAAGATGGTTTACTAACATAGGATATAGATTCTTTTTATAAGCCCCACTAGTTTTTGTTGAATCAAATATAAAGCCGATAGGGATCCACTCTACCAGCTATGATTACTACTAATACATTTTCCAACACTGTAGCTAAACTGTTTTAATCCACCAGATTTTAAATCAGGTTTTACGTCAAATCCAAAAATAACCAACAAGACTTCCCAAACTTGTTTTTATCCATAGATGTGTACAAACTTTACTTTCATTTGAGCTCATCAAAGCCACTTGTTCAAACATCCATAACAATACTAGACACTTTGGAACATTCTTAGGTAACTCATAGTCATAGAAAAGACAAAAATATTATAGATGCTTTACAAACACTAAGTCCACTGACGCCTGGTCAGAAATTGCATTGTCTTTCCATTGCCGGCAAATATTTGGCTCAGATATTGACACACGGAGCAGGCCCAGATCATTAGCTATTTCTTTTGTCTAAGAACGATAAAGCAAGCCAGCAAACAGCTGGTGGAAGTGCTACACTAAGGGAAAACACTCGTAAACTGTTTCAATTTAAAATAAGCTATACTAAAGATATCTTTTATCTTCACCTTAAAAGTTAATGGTAATAGTATTGTAAAGTATTTGTTTAGTTCGAATAGAATGACACGAAATTCCATTATCCAGATTTTCATTTTTTTAATTTCAAAACACAAACATCTTTGCACTCTTTCTGTCTGGCTGAACTCCATAGCGAAGGCCAATGCCAAACACGAAGTTACTGACTTGGCCAGTGGAATTCTCCTAATCCACAGCTACGTTAGTTTGCTTAGCAAGCACACGTCACGGATAGAACACATGTGCCGCCAAGAGTTTCCCTAGGCGGGAGGTATATATACCGCTATCCGAGAACGCCAAGATCAGTTCGATTCGTTCACTTTCCAATAACGAAATGCGTACCATTATCCTAGTTACTCTTGTTGCTCTGGTCGCTGTGGCCTCCGCTCAAGGACCAGGTGGTCCATGGGGTCCACGTGGTCCTGGCGGTCCAGGTGGTCGTGGACCAGGAGGTCGTGGTCCCGGAGGACCAGGAGGTCGTGGCCCTGGAGGACCTGGAGGTCCCGGAGGTCCAGGCAGAGGCCCTGGAGGACCAGGAGGTCCGGGAGGTCCAGGAGGTCCAGGAGGCCCAGGAGGCCCAGGAGGACCAGGAGGTCCAGGGGGCCCAGGACCATGGGGACCACCATGCAACCAAACCACCTCTACCACCACCACCACCACCGAGGCGTCTACGAGCACATCCTCCACCACAGCTTCCTCCACCACAGTTTCTTCCACCACAGAGTCCTCCACAGAGTCCTCCACGGAATCCTCCACTGCTTCTTCCACGGCATAAGTCTCCAAATCTGTCCACGCTCGAAATTTGTCTACTTGGTTTGGCGTGGTACAGTCAAATTTGTAAACATTAAAGAACGATTCTGTGCATATTAAAACCCTGGCTTCCTTTTTTAAATGGAAAAATGTTTTGATGTTTTAAGAGATTTTCTATGTTTATGGTCATCGACAGCTTATCCAATTAAAATAAACCAGGAACGTAAAATAATTCCATTTTATACCCTTTATCAGTAGTGGAACAAGGTGTATTGTATTCCTTGAAAAGGATGTAACAGGTTTACGGGATGTTCTCTTGGTAAGGATTAATAGCAGTGTCGATTCTGACATGGCAGTCTGTCTGTATAAAAGACTGCCTCTCGGAATCTTTAAGATCCAGAAAGTTTGAAATAAGCAGGTAGATACGAGGTATAACATGAATGCTAAGAGCTTAATTTATCTTTGAATATTCTTTCTTTAATACCCATCGATCCACCAACAACTTTTCAAAATCCGAGCAAAATGTAATGCAAATAAAGGCGACGATGTCCGCTGCTGACATATGTATTTAGTAATATTGAAATTGGGTAACAGAGTACCGGGTATCCGTTAGTCGTGGCACTCGACCCAAGCCTTCCCCCCTGATTAGTTATATTAGACAATAATAATATTATCATTTGCAAAGTGATAAAGGATTTAATAAAATTTTATTTCAAATATCTGCAGAAAGTACTTTTCCATTTTATTTATTTTGTTAACTTTGAATTTCGAGAGAAATGAAAATAAATACCTTTCGCCGAATTTGAAATATAAATTGCACAAATAGATTTAATTAAAAATGTTTTTCCATTCATTCTGAGCCGTAATAAGCATAAGCAAGTGCATCAGCATTATGATTAATTGTAAGTTGATAAGAATTTCGTAATTTAATCCAGTGAATTTTGCTGAAAGCCTTGACCAAATAACAATAGCCAAGGGGCTTAAGTCATTGTTCAGCTTGTGGCCAAAGTTTTAGTAAAAGACAAATTCTAGTGCCGAATGGACTTATTGAATAGTTAAAGCCACTTAATTACCTTGGCTTACATAAAGCTTTTCGTGAGTTAAGTAATTTTAGCATAATTGGTGCATCGGCACAATGCAATGTTAGTGTTGAATTAATCGCAGGTGATTAGGGAATGCTTCCCTCCATTCCAAATTGGCAATTGACTGCCAACTGCGAACTCATCTCCGACATGGGTTCAAGCCAAAATGTTTGCTATTTAATTGCATTTGGTCAATTTCCGACGAAACTTTATTTTCCTCTCCCCTCGCACGTAAACGGCAGCAAGGCTCCAAGGAAAAGGTAAAGGAGTCCCGGGCAAGCTTAGCAGGACGAACGGCAGGAGCAGCAACCGGATTAGGAGGCATTAAAAGTTATAAAACAACAAGATTATGGCTTTGCCATAACACAAACACACACTCAAATATGGTTATGTGCTGCCAGTAAGCACAGGAGTTCTGTGTGGCTTCTAATAAATACTCTTCTGTTCAAATTTAGCCAAGATGAATTCGGAAACTTCTAATAAACTGTTTAAGGACTTTAACTCTAGAAGTACACAGCGCGGAAGTGAGCCCGGAACTTGGCCAACTAACCCCTGATTGTTAACTCATTAAAATGTATTAATAACTTTTATTTATGTTTTGAGTGTTATTCGAAATAAAAATAAACTTTCAAAGAACTATTTGATAACTTTGATCCCTTGGATTCCTAGCTTAACTATCTTGTTTCAGGATTCTAACCATATAGTTTTTTCCATATACACTCACTATTTCCACCACTATTTCGCCCAATATTCCTACACCACGCACCATAGAAAGTTTATACTTAAACCATTCATCTGGCAGTGATCAAAAAACACTGACATCTGAGGACATCTAATATAGCAATCTAAATAAATTAGTTACTGTTTACAAAAAATGCAATTTAAACTTCTTCGGGAGTGGGTCAATGTCAGCGGGTCAAAGCGATTTTGGCCATGAACCATCACCACAGCATCTATGTCCTTATCAAATCACGCTTCATCCGTTTAACAATTAGCACCGATAACTAATTTATGGTCAGGATGCCGCGTCTAGGATGTGGTTCGGGATGAGGGGCAAAGAACTGCAGAACTGGAGTGGATTGTTTTGGAGTGGAGCTTTTACACGTAATAACAATTACAAATGCGCGCGCTCCATAAATCAAGTGAAGCCATCTCCAGGAACTCGCAGTCCCATCGACGCCAAGCCCCCCCTCTATTTTTCCAGCCCCCCTTTCCAAATGAACTGGCCAAAATCCCCTCCCCCAATAAGCAATCCTCTTCCAACTGGCGGCTCCTGGGCACTAATTACAATTCAGGACGCGTTGCACTCGAAAGTTGTTGTTCATTCAACACTCGACTCCTGGCGATGAGTGGTGGAGTCGGGAAGTGGTGGTGTTTCGGGTGGCTGGGTGGCTTACTTCAAAGTGCCATTGCCTCTGTGGGTGGTGGTGGCCCCAAAAGTGTTGTTGTAATTAAATTATGTGCCAAGTGACGTTCTCGGAACTGTCCTCACAATCGTTCTGCTCTCCTTTCACTTACACTGGACAAAATTAATGTCAATATCCTTAAATTATTAAATATATTTTATTAATTATCAACAATAAATATTTTTTTATTCCATTCTTGTTTCTCTAATTAGATTAAGAATCTTTAACATAAAAGTTTTCAATTTTTAAACATGTTCTTAGATTAAAATTTAACAATATAAATAAATAATATCAAATCGCTGCATTTTCGGACTTAGTAGCTATTTTAATATAATATAAAATATTTTAAAAAGCTTATAGACCTGCCTTACTTTCCTAAGCACAACCCCCTGAATAAGCCCCCTTTTGGCACCATTTTTGGCCTGTTGCCTGTCGTCTTTTCGCCTGTGCCATCTCAGATGTTGTGGCAAATTAAGTTTGCTTTTGTTCTAGATTAAAAAGGCATTGAAATGTCGGCAAGGAGGGGAGGAAGAGGAAAAGTGAGTGGAAATGGACGAATGGGAGGATGAAGGAGACCGATGAGTGGGTGGTGGTAAGCGGCAGTTAAAATGACGCCTTCGGCCAAATTTAGCTAACTTTGTTAAGTTTGTTTTGGCCGCGGGAGCTGAATGTCGGCCGCCGCCTCCAACGGACTCCACTGGATGATGAAGTGCCCAGACGGCGATAGAACCGCAGATATAGTCGGACGCAGTGGGTCTGGGTCTGGGTCTGGGTCTGGAGATGATGGGTGGGATGGGTGCGATGGGCTGTAAACGGGGCTAAAACGGGCAGAAATTAAAAATCAACTGCCGCGTGGGCGAACAAGCCAAGCACTTAAGTAGCTGACCAACTGAGTAATTGAAGGAACTAATTGAAAACGTAGGGATAAAGGGATAACGGAGCTTAAGGTGCACTGTGAAAAATATTTCATTCTCTAATTTGGGAGTTAATATATAAATATATAATATTTTATATTTTCCACCATTAATAATCAATTTTAGAGAGTTAATTATCGCATTTTATAAACCTATATAAATAGAATCTACGCTTTATTTTTAAGAGTTAAAGTCTTAATTTAATATTTAAACTTATTCCATATATACAAAACTAAGAGGTGATTTCTCTCACTGAACCCTAGTCCCAGTTAAAACAATATATCTTCTTGTCCTTTAGATTGGAGCTGTGTAAATTTGGTCTACAAAAATTAAACTATTCGCCTCACTTTACTTATTTTATATTTACAATCTTCTTGAGAGTGGAGGGATGTGCTCCATTTTGAACAGTAAGTAAGGTATTGTAGAAGTTTAAATTAAATCGTCATCGTTTAGATGGCAGAGCTTCCAATCCACATTAATCAAACATAAATATAGAAGGTCGAGCGAGAGGGAGGGTGTCCAGTGGCAGGACTGCATGCTAATGCAAGGACCCGTCCCAATTCAGATGCAGACCGAAACAAAAATGAAAACGAAATTAAAAGCTGCAAAAAACAATATAGGAAACATATACACTCCACTAGCTTGGCAGGCTATTCAATTGCCATTTCGAATTCCACGCACATATTCCATTAAAGTCGTTGGCGTAATTTTAATTTCGGATTTGGTCCTTTTTTCCCCGGAAGGCAGCAGCTGCTTTAAGGACCTCGGATAGAGAGAAAGACGCTGGAATATTAAAGGAACGGTGCCAATCAAATTGAAATTTAATTTGCACAACAATGTGGATGCGAAGGGGTGGTGCGGCATACTTGACCGGCAAATAAAAAGCACTCCCCGAATTATTAAGCCTCATCTCCACTCCATCTCCAAGCCCAAGCCCAAGTCCAGACCACCTATTCGCCGCCCGTTAGCAGTCCATAAAATTGTGATTTACTCCCGTTGAGATTTCAATTACTGCCGCTTTATTGGCAATAAATTTCCGTATAAATTAGGCGGGCCCAACTCCCGATCCGGATCCGGATCCGCAAGGGTTAAGGTTAAACAAAGCGGCAAGTAGCCGCACGTACTCGTCGCGGAAAGGTGAAGTCGGCCAGAAAAGGTCCTTTGGGTCAACAGCGAAGACAGCAAATAAACCAAAATGGGGTCACAAATGGTAGACGACACAAGGATACCCATTGGCTCTGAAGCTTACTTCGAAGTAGTGAAGCAGTTCTTTTAAAAATTTAATGAAGTTACTTTGATTAAATCACGATTAATCACGTTAAACAATTTTTTATTTACGAACTTTTTAAATTTCTTTGCTTGGTTTTTAATGTTTATCGTATCAAGTTTTTACTACAATAATATATTATATTAAAAATATATATAACACAAATAATCATTTAATAAAAGGCGCATGTGGTCTAAAATATGTTTATGTAAGTTTTTAAACTATTTTTTATATATTCATCGATTACAGATTAGTTACAAGCTCAGGAGCTGTAGAACAGCTTTTTTATTTTTAAAGCAAAATACATACATACATATATACCCCAAGAATTTTCCAGGATAGCTGGTATAAAAATTGATTGCCATGCAAATAAAAATTCACCGATTTCTTTGGGCACGTCCATGTCGTCATCGTCGTTGTTAGGAAATCCATTGACGACTCTTAAAATCTTTCTGCCCAGACAAAAATTGTTTTTGTTTTGTTTTGTTTTGGCTTTTCCTCGCTTTCCTGGAAACGCGGAAAATATCAAAGCCGCTTCCGAGAGTGCCAATCACGAAGTGCCGCAGGTGGGGGCCCAACAACTTCCGCTCCGGGGGAAGCCTAACCAACCTGACACCTTTGAGGATGAAGACAAGGGGTGCAGTACAAATAGCTTATACTTTAGGAACTTCTTAAAGCTATGCAAATCGTGTGCATTCGTCGGAGCTTTTCTGGGTATAAGAATTTAATTTCTGTTCTTTAATGCATAGAAATGTTAAGACCTTGGCAAAAATATGGTTAATTTTATAAAAATAATTCTTGCTGATTTTTAATGCAAAGTAAAACCATTTAAATACACAAAAACAGTGAATTACATAGAAGGGCTCATAAATAATAGCGATATCCTTAGTATTAATGTAAATGAAAAAGTGTTTATTGAGTGAATTATCCTAGGGCTTATCACAAAGTTTTGTTCCTCCTAGTGGAGTACCACCATTCTATAGGTATTGCGAGTCTGCATAAAGGTCACGGAACTCGAGCAGCTGATCCAACGACGCTTCGTACTCATCGCGCTCCAAGCCAGAATTAGAGTATGCTTGCAATTTGGCCAACTGCACCCGATGTGTCTGGGCGTGCAAATTATCCAGATGCTCGCCAAGCTTGGTAGAGTTCTGCAAGGCGGCTAGCATAGGAGCGGAATCTACACGAGAACCCGACTCACGTTCTGCTCCGACTGGCAGGCGGAAGCCATCGCTAGAAATGCTGCTTTCAAAAATCTCATAAGGAAATGGCAGTTGCGTCTTTAGTGGCAGAGGTGTGGCTGCTGCATTCGTGACACTGCCATGATAGCTGCACTGGTAGTATAGCTGCAGCATGTGGGAGACACTGTCGCACCCATAGGCAGCCATCCGCAGTTGTTCGCCAGCCTGCTCCCTGGGGCGCTTTAAACGCTCTGCGGGAATGCCACGAGCCATGACTGATTGCACCACATATGAGGTGCCCGGTTCACAACCGGGCGTGAGTTGTGTCAGTAGCGCATGGTCTCCGCTCTGGTCCAGAAACTCTATCAGATCCTGACCCTCCCTCAGGCCGAATGGCAGAGCTACTCCTGCGGCAGTCATCTTCCGACCCGAAGGAGAAACACGTTCGCAAAAGCGTAGCAGAGACTCTGGAGTTTGTCGCAAACGGTAACCCAAGGTGGCCGTATCCAAAAAGCCAGCTAGCAGTGCCGATGTCTGGTAAAGATTTTCTACCTGCCACTGAAGTCCCGGCAGGCTGCGCGACTTGAGATTATTATTCCTCCAGATGCTTTCCAGAGTGGACAGTGGTGTAAACATCGACGCCTGCTCGCTTAGATTATGGTAGCTCATCACACTGTTCACCACACGGATGCTGTGCGACAAACGGGTATCTAGAGAGAGAGGAAAGAGTGTTCTCATCGTGGTCTTTCTTAAAAGTCATCTTACTCACCGGCTTGAGCATAACTAGTGATCTTGGGATAATGCAGCGGCACCACAAAGCTTGCCCGACTGTACTCGTCGTTCAGGTGCTCCAGGCACTTCCCGGCCAGACCGCCGAAACCATCGTCAATGTCAAATACCACATGGAAGCCCTGCAGGCCGTCGCACTCCTCCACATACAAGCGGATACGATCATTAAACTCCTCGTTGAAGGCAGCTTCCTGCCACAATTCTATTCCGGCGGAGTAGGTTCCCAACGTCTGGACAGTCGGATCCCTCACCAGGCCCGGTAACACATTCAGGGTTCGCGGATGGTACCGAGCGTAGAGGAAGTCTGCCCAACTGTTTGCCGTCTCTGCCAGCTTATAGTTCTTCTCGGGCGCCACGGAGTTCTTCAGTAAATCCCGCTGATACTCGCAAATGGCGGCCTGCGGCTGCTCCTGCACTTCAAGCTGATGCGAGGGGAACACACCGCTTTCCTCAGCCCGCTGGCGAGCCTGTTGCAGTTCCTCGCCGGTGCCCAGGGGTAGCAGTTCCTCATCCCTTTGCACGAAATTACCGTATAGCTCGCCGGTGACAGGAAGGTGTCCCAGAGTTCCGGCCAAGTCAACGGACAGTAGGCGGGGCGTGTAGGTGGTGCGATTGAGGGCATTCAGCCCCTCCCGGTACAATACATCATTGTTCGGCAGCTGTTCCTCGACCACCTGGTTGCTTTCGTCTCCATACCTGAAGTTCGCCTCCTGTAAATGCGTATTTTTTGCAGTTTCTCGTTTACACGGTGGATGGGCCAACTCACCTGTTGGTTCCAGAAATGGGCACCCACATAATTCGCGTAAGTTCCAAACTGGAAGGTCAGAATTTCACCTGTATGGTCCATAACAGCCGGCAAAAGTGACTAATTTGTATGCGCGGTTCGATTGTGCAGAACTTATCGATAACTTTACGCACGAAAACGGGCTATGTCTATAGACCGAGGGGTACCCTGTAGACACTGCAATAAATAATTTACCTCGAAACCGCCACCTCTTAGCGTTTACTTTAGATATATTTATATTCATATTATAAGTACATATGTTAACTTTTCGTACTGATTGTTCGCAATTGTGTTTTACATTTGGCAAAGATTTCTTTAGCCAACAGATTAAAATTCAAAGCATATTATCTTATGTATTGCAACTTATGTACATAAATCTTGGTATCTATTGCACATATATACATAGGTATTATATTGGCAGTTTATTGCAATAATATTGGGCTGTAGTAAAACCATTTGAAGATCAATCTTCTGTATTAAAGCCAAAAATATTAATTCATGGATGTACTCAATACAGCTTTATTACTCAAAATATTTAACTTTGACAGACTTTTTTGATAAATCTTCGAAAAGAATCTAAAACGAATATGCCTGTTTTAACCCAAATTTTCTCAATTTAAAGAAAATTTTATTGCCACACGATAATATTAGTATGTGGGGCCTCTCCAAGGGCCAGCACACCCCATAGAATACCCCTTACGAAGCGATAAGCAAAACAAAGTCAAAAATCACGTGTAAAACTTTGTAAGTTTAAAATTTATTTGGTGGGATTGGGATGCGGATCCACAGTTTTGTTTAGCACGAGCGAGAGGTAGCTGTTCCAGATGAGGGCGACGCACTGGACGTAGAGCACCTGGTGGCTCAACGGCACGAAGCGGAAGTTAATCAATTGGGCTGCTGGCCAGAGCATGTAGTTGCGGGCCAACAGGGATGGATAGTATTCAAATATACGCTTCCGAATCTGGTCGGCTGGCTCGCCGTTAACCAATGGCACCAGGAAAGACATGGCCAATGTAAAGGGTGGCGCGATGATGCACTGGTCGGCCAGCATCTTGGTAACACAGCGGCGCATTGGATTTAAGGTTTTTGGAACCCGGGATTCCAGGAAGATGTACCATTGCCGGAGAACCGGACCAACGAACACCAGCCCCAGGGCACCGAATCGAAGGGTTCGCCCGGTGTCCCATTCGTTCAGCGGCTTCTTCTCTATGCCAAACTGGGCTACCATATCACCCAGACCCATTACCGCCGCCACGTTGACGATCTCCTTGAGGTACGCCTTGAGTGCCGACATCTTAATCTGATTTCAGTATTTTTGGTAATGTTTACTTTCAAATTCAAATCACTTTACTCAGATTTACCGATCCGATGTGCTGAACATCGCATCGCGTATGTATTAAAGGGTTGTCTATTAAACTCAAAAGAGTCCGGTTTCTGTGTCCTAAATGGCAGAAAACGAAAAACACACAAACACATAGAGATCAAAAATGTCAAATCCATGAATTCAATAATTTAGAGAAATCTCGAAAAGTTTTAAGCGTTATAAATAAATTTTATTTCATTTATTCATTGTTTTACTGATTTTTCTATATTCACTGCATAGAAAATTGTGTCGCTTATGATCTAAATTGTTTATTCGTTCAAATTTTGGGGTGGCAACCCTGTTTCTCGTCATTATTTAACATACAAAACATATATCTTTCCATCAATGATTTTAAAGAAAGAAAAAAGCAGCAAATTAAAAAAATAATTTAAAATTTTTTGGAAGGATTCAGTATTTTAGCATTTACGGGATTACTCGAAATATTCATGATTATTAACAGATTTTTATTTTTATTTGAAAACGAAAGTAACCTATCTAGGAATTAACTTATGCGGAGAAATTGTTCGCCGGTCTATGCGTTGGTTTTTAGCTTCTTGCGCTTTCGCGGCGGTGAATCCGCGATCTCCACCTCTTCTATTTCCGTTTTAATTTCCACAACATCGTCAAGGGTGTTGCCGGTTTCATTTACAAGGACTTCTCCATTAGATTTTCGCTTCTTTCGCTTTGTGGGCACATCAGTTTCTGTTATTGGGTCGACTTTTTCCTTTTTGATCTCCACGATATCGTCGAGAATATTTTCTGTTCCATTTTCATGGATTCCCCCAATTGATTTACGATTTTTTTGTTTCTTTATCACAACCAAATCGGCGGGCTTATTTGTTGCTGCAGTCGATTTGTTCTTCTTTTGCTTCTTGGGGGAGTCATTCTCGTCCAGAATTTCTTCCTTGATCTCAACCAGTTCATATCCGGTTTCTAGAACGGACGTTTGGTTTTTTTTATTCTTGCCCTTCTTGACAGGAACAGCTTCGTCGGCAGAGTCTACTAACTCCACAGATTCCGGTTGGCTAAAGTTGTTACGGTGAAAGCTCAATGATCCGTAATTATACATAGGTTGGTTTCCAGTAAACGCAGTCTGTCGGTCATCGTATTCCTTTTGACTTAGTGTTTTGGTGGTGGCCAGCATTTTGCTGCGAGTATCGTAGTAGTTAGCTGTACGCCACAGCTTGGCATTCGCATTAACAGTTTGCTTGTACGCCTTCGTGATAGATTTTTTAATCTCATTGGGCACTTGAATGACTTCCTTGAAATCGTGTCCGAACAAAGGATGACGGATGCGAAATCTGTACCTTTGCTGCGTTTTAACGGTGGGAAATACCTGCTCCTCCGCACCTGTCGGGGGTTGCTTGGCATTCAGGCGTTTGCTGACCACTACGTAACCAGTAAGGTGCAGTTTCCTAAGGTCGTACCTCCCCTTGGAGGTGACATAGCCAACAGCCTCACTACGCGGAACCGAGTAATTTTTGGCCCGCACCTGGAGATCACCCACATACTTTTTTCCGGGCATCTTGATGCGCTTGCCGGTCAGCTGCTGGAAATCTGTTCCCTTGGGACAGTGTAGTAACCATGCCTCATGGGATTGGGCATCAAAGTTCTGAAGCGCATCACCGCAGCATTTACGAGCTGCCACACTTGAGTCCAGTTCGTTAAACGGCTCATTCTCTAGAAACTGCTGGCGAAGTTTTTGAGCATCCTGGTGCGACATTATCCTGTTTGTATCTAAATTAATTCTTATTTACGGTAGAAAAGAATCAAATTTGCACGTGGCCTGCCTGGGTAGTGGCCGTGCTGGGCGTTGCTGCTATATCCTGCTGCTTGTGGTGTCTGCTGAGTTCCAGCCTTCTTATAACGTAGCTTTTCCTTCTTCAACTCAATTATTTCCGCATCTTATTTTCTGCGATTTTCTGATGGCTAGCAATTTAAATTTCAATATAATCACATTGCCCTCGCATGTGTTTTAGAACTGGGAAAGAATCGATTTAATCACCGATATAAATGGTTCAAGCATCGATTCTTTTTCTTTATATCGATGTTTCTTTGCCATCACTTAAACATTAATTCAGTCACCAAATCAAAGCAGTAGCTTTTTAACGCGAAATGGGGAAGAATAATCTATAATTCTTATCGTATAGTTATAGTTATATATTTGTATGCAGCAACCAGTTGGTTCTGAAATAATGAAATAAACGATGGATTTCAAAATCAAAACAGTGTTATTTAAATAAGTTGATGTTATGGCTAAAAGATGGTATAAATACTTTGGATAACATTTTTGAAGCTCAGTTCTATACATTATCGTTACTGTTAGTATTTTTTGTCTTATTTTTAACCATTTTATTCCTTCTAGGAAGCGTTTCCGACCCTATAAAGTGTCTATATATATTCTTGATCAGGATCAAAAGCCGGATCGATTAAGTCATGTTCGTCCGTTTGAACGCTCAGATCCCAGGAAGTATAAGAGATACACAGTTGGAATTAAGAATGAACATTCTTGTGACGTCTACGCAGTTTAAGTATATTTAGCGCACTGTACATACATTTTTTAAATATAGGCGCAAAACCTAGTCGATTCCGTTAACTATCGATACTGCCGACGATATATCCAAAGGGCGATACACCCTCAATCGTTCTTTTTGTGTCCGAAAACGTGTGCTGCGCACTTTCCCAGGGTTTTGCTAGCTACCCGCTATGAGCCAGAAGACCCAGAAAACGGTACAGTTTCACGAGTTGGAGCTGGACCAACGCATCCTCAAGGTGAGATCCTCGGTCTCCAGACGACATCTTTTGTACTAAAGGAACTTTACTCATTTTCCAGGCGGTGGCTCAGCTGGGATGGCATCAACCCACGCTCATCCAGTCCACGGCGATTCCGCTGCTCTTAGAGGGCAAGGATGTGGTAGTGCGTGCCCGCACCGGATCTGGCAAGACGGCTACCTACGCCTTGCCTCTGATCCAGAAAATCCTTAACTCCAAACTAAACGCCAGCGAGCAGTGTGTGAGCGCAGTCGTTCTGGCACCCACAAAGGAACTTTGCCGGCAGTCTAGGAAGGTGATCGAGCAACTGGTCGAGTCCTGCGGCAAAGTGGTCCGCGTTGCGGATATTGCCGGTAGCTCTAGTGACGCAGTGACCCAGCGGCATGCCTTGGCCGAAAGACCTGATATCGTGGTGGCGACACCTGCAAAACTATTGGCCCATGCCGAAGCCGGAGGTGTTGTGGATCTGAAGCACGTAGAGACTCTAGTGGTGGACGAGGCTGATCTGGTGTTTGCCTTTGGCTACGAAAAGGATTTCAAGCGGTTGATCAAGCACCTTCCTCCTATCTACCAAGCTGTCTTAGTCTCTGCCACACTAACCGACGATGTGGTACGTATGAAGGGTTTGTGCCTGAATAACCCGGTGACGTTGAAGCTCGAGGAGCCGGAGCTAGTGCCGCAGGATCAGTTGACACACCAGCGCATTCTTGCTGAGGAGAATGACAAACCGGCTTTATTGTTTGCTTTGCTAAAGTTAAGGCTCATACGCGGAAAGAGCATCATCTTTGTGAACAGTATCGATCGTTGCTACAAGTAAGTAAACCATGTTAAATCGCCATCAAAATTCTGTGGAGCTTATGATGATAAACCAAAGTATAAAAGGAGTGAGCAGCTGACAACAGTTGGCACACGTGTGACTAGTAACTAATCTTCTCGCTGACGGCAAAAACTTTAAAATACTGATAAACCCATTTTACATGGCACTAATCACTATCCAATTTCAGGGTTCGCTTGTTCTTAGAGCAATTTGGAATCCGTGCCTGCGTATTGAACTCCGAGCTGCCTGCCAACATTCGCATCCATACAATTAGCCAGTTCAACAAAGGCACCTACGATATCATCATCGCCTCTGACGAACATCATCTGGAGAAGCCTGATGGCAAATCCTCAGCCAACCGAAAAACGACGCGTAGCGGGGATATTGAATCTAGTGCTTCACGTGGCATTGATTTCCAGTGCGTAAACAACGTGATAAACTTTGACTTTCCAAGGGATGTCACGTCGTATATTCACCGGGCTGGCAGGACGGCAAGAGGGAACAACAAGGGCTCTGTATTATCATTTGTAAGCATGAAGGAAGCCAAGGTGAACGATGCCGTGGAGAAAAAACTATCTGACAGCTTCGCCGTCCAGGAGGGCGAGCAAATCATCAAGTACGTAATAAATACTATCTTAAAGAGTTAATATTCTAACATAACAATTTCAGAAACTACCAGTTTAAAATGGAGGAGGTAGAATCCTTCCGTTATCGTGCCCAGGATTGCTGGCGTGCCGCCACTCGTGTTGCCGTTCACGATACGCGGATCCGGGAAATAAAGACCGAAATTCTGAACTGCGAGAAGCTTAAGGGATTCTTTGAGGAAAATAAGCGCGATTTGCAAGCGCTGCGGCACGATAAACCACTTCGCGCTATCAAGGTGCAAAGTCACTTGTCTGACATGCCCGAATACATAGTCCCGAAGGCTCTCAAGCGAGTGGTAGGCTCCGCCACATCCTCATCTGGCAGTGGAGCTTCGGAATCCAAACAACCACGCCAGTCGGCAGCCAAAGCTGCTTATGAGAGACAGAGCAATGACCCACTGATGGTAAGTCAGGTGGACTTTGGCAAGAGGCGTCCTGGCCCCCGGAGAAAAAAAAAGGCATTCTAGGGGAGCAACTGTCACTGGGGAAGCTTGTTATATATAGTCGCTATAATGTGTAAGCAGAACTTGTTAAATTAAGCAAAACGTTACTGTGTGTGCGTTTTTTATCGAAAACAATCAAATACAAAAAGTGGATTTTTTACAGTTTTATTTTGTTTCTCAATATGATCATTAAAAAAAGTACTGTCTATATAAGTGGGACTGATTATGAGTAAATATAGAAATTGTCATCCAAAGTCTGAGGGATAATAATTGGCTCTAGAACTAACACATCGATTTCCCTAATGTAGCTAACAAAATTGGAAATACAAAAATTTATTGGCATTTCAAATAGGTATTTGTTTTGCAGTTTCTGAGAGTAAATACGTAAAAGTTTCCAGTTAATTTAGAAACAATAAGGTACGTAATTGCTATTACACTGTTTCACATTTGGAAGCTTTACAAGTGGAAGCTTAAAACCTTACTGCTTGCATGGCATTGTGTAACTAATGAGCCAAGCAGACGGAGAAGGTGCTAGATCATGCCGAGCTCTTCTAACTGAACAGCAAGCGGAGAACAAGTGTCCGAGTCACATTACCCAAATTAGCAGTAGATCGTTGTAAATCACAGCGATGATTGTCCGGCAACTGGAGACCATTAGGCGCATCATTCTGAATGCCCCTGGAGCAATAGATCACCATTAGAGGCGATTTGAGATAATTTTCCCAACGAACTGCAGTTTGATGAAATTTAAGCGACGCATGGGGATTCGTTTTTAACATTTTATTATTGTCATTGAAATAGTTAACATTCATACAATTATTTATTCATTTATTTATAGCGTTTATGCAATACAATAATAATAATCATGAGAATAATAATACAAAATTATTCGATTCGATCTGCACGCCTTGGTATATGGCCAAGTCTGTCTATATATGTAGTTGTCTGAGCAATCGAAACGAGGAATCGGATATGAAGACGAAAAAATCAGGGGGACAGAAGGCGGTTTCGGTTTCGGTTTCGCTTGTGGTTGTGGTTTCTCATTGATTGACTATCGTAGTAATGACTTTTACAATATCGCTTTAAGTGCTAAATTAAACATATACATTTAAGTTAATTTAGCATAATCATAATAAAACTCGCTAGGTTTAGGTATAGGTATGCGCGGTTATCCCTGGTTCCTATGGACAGTGTTATTTGACTATATCGGATGGGATGGCCACGAGCTGGAGGAACAAATGCCCTGGACTCTCTCTCTCGCTATTGATCTATATAAATATATAGTTTATGTTAGTAACTTAGGGAGAAACATGAAATCACATCGCAAATGAAGAATGGAGAACTATTAACTGATAGCTGATATAGTGATACTGAGGAAGAAGCACAAACACGAAGTTAATGAATCTAGACTAAAATGCAGCCATACACATACATGTATCTATGTAGATATAGATCGGTATATATCTCTATAAACGTTTTTGATCTCATTATATTGTATATAATATGTATATACCATTATCGTTTTATGCTTTATTTGTTACGATGCTAAAAAATGTTCGCTTCAATTCAATCCCCTTTTTTAATATCATCGGTGTGGAATTTCCACATTCGTTTCCTTCCTTCACGATTTTTAGTTTTTGTTTTTTCATATTTTGTTTTCTTTGTAACACACATACAGAACTCGTTTAGATTATTGTTGCAACAAGACGTAAAAATATACATATTTTCATCAAATGACCACCTCTCAGTGCTACCGCCTCTAATTGAAGTTGTTTGTTGGTGAAGAAGATCCTGCAGGGCTGCAGGAGGACAGTGAGTGAGAACATCTTTGCTCTTTTGCAGGACCTTGGTATATACACAAGCCTTTATATATATACTGCAGACATATGCAAATTTCGTAAAAATAGTAAGAACGACAAAAAAAACACTAAAATATGCCCGAAGCGATCGATTTCCTGGCGATATCCACTGACGGATATAATTGGCAAACGATCTGCCGCCTCAGGGGTGTGTGTGGGTGAGTGAGTGATTCCATCCATCCAGGCCAGCTTAGATGGGCACATAATTGCCCTTGGGCTTGTAGAAAAGCTGTCCTCGCATCAGCCGGCGCCGAATCTCGGAGAGAAGCAGGCGCTTTTCTTTCTTGATCTTTTTTAATACACCCTTGTTTTCCTGGGCACGTCGCGACAAGTAAGGCAGCACCTCTTCCACTGGACCATACGGGATATACTTGTACGCCGAGTAGCCAGCCTGGCCTGTAGTTGGGTATAGCAGAATAAGAACCAAAATTAAATATATATCAAAGCTAATGTATTGTTATGATATAGAAACATACCTAGTGGGAAGGTGATGTAGTCGCACATGCCCAGCAGTTGACCAAAGCAGATAACCTTGTCCTCCGGCGAAATTCCTATCTCCTTCATTTGTTGGATGGCAAATCGCACGGTGTCTTCGTTGTGCGATGCCACCATAATGCCAATCTTCCTGGCGTCATCATCACAGTCCTTCATCAGCTATAATTATTCAGATATTCGCAGTTTAATTTTTGGGACTTATGACCGAATATCGCATAAACTCACCTTAATGCGTCGCAAGCACTCGGCCAAAGTCTTGTGATACATGTCCGTGGTGGCCTCGTAGGTAGGATTGACCGGATCGGGATAACCAAGCGACTTGGCGCGGTCCCGCTCCTGGTCCATATAGGCACCGCGTACCAGCTTGGCGCCGAAGTAGAAGTTCTGGCGCTTGGCCTGCTCCAGATCGGTGTTCACCTCGCGAAACGTTTCCCGGAGGTAGCACTGGTACGTGTTGAAGACAATTGCCTTGTCCTTGTTGTACTTGCGCATCATTTCGAGAGTGATGCGTGAGATGGCCGGCTGGAAGTAGGTCTGCTCTGCATCTACCATGATGCGCACATCCAGATCGGCAGCAGCCTGATGTTTTTAAAAATACGATTAAGTACAAGTACTTGGTAACTGTAGTGACTCATCATACCTTTACAATGGTGTTGAGGCGACGGATCATGTTTCGGAACATCTCCTCCTCTTTGGGCGGTATTTGTGAGATCAGTCGACGCATCTGGCCGGTTTGGGGATCGGGAACACGGAACGTGTCGCTTAGCTGCGAGTCCTCGTCCACGATGCCCGACCAAGGGAACAGATGCAGGATTCTAAATGTGATTGCCAACAAAATGAGATCGGTTGGTGGTTCAAAAATGTGAATGTACTTACCCCTCCTTGTCGGACGTCACATTATTTAAGAACTCTTTCACATCCTTGTTGTCGCCCAGTGTGGCATAATACTTCTCGAGATCCTTGATAGTCTTGTGGTGGGTCAGCACATTGCCCTGACCGCCTACCATGTCCTCCATGTACTTGCGTGTGCGCATAATCACCTCGGACAGTTGCAGCTGAAAAGATATATACATATAGTATCTATATACTACAAAATCTTGTACACTCATAAGCTGGGAGTATTATATTTGAAGTTTAATAACAAATGTCTTATGTGTTTTAAAACCTAAAAACAGCCTTTTCATTTTATTGCCTCACTACGGTTAATTAAAAGTTAATATTTTTGAAGTTTTTACTTTTTTAAAATGTGGTTTGGCATTTATTTGCAACGGTTAGGAACGCGTTTAGGAATCAGTAGCTTTCACTATTCATTAACACCAATTTACTATCTTCCTTTAGCTATTTTCTATTAACACCTATTAACCACTGTTGCTTGTGCAAATTAAGCTACTCAATTATCTGGGACCCAAGGGGATTACTTTGTGCGAACTTACCAGCAATTGTGGACGGCCCAGGGCGGTGAGTTTAATGGCGGTGATGCCGGTTCCGAAGGTGGCGCCTGCAGGTCAATATTCCGATCAAATCGATGGTTGGTTGTTGGAAATGAAAGCATTTGAAAAAGAGCAGAGCAATTTGTGAATGCGATGCGGTGGCAGAGGCAAAGATCGGAAAGCGAATTCTACAGGTATACAACATATACATATATAACTACGGCAATTTACAAAAATCAAATGATACGGATACGACAACACATTGAGATACAATTAAGGCTATGCCAACGACTACGATTATACAGGCACATCACATCAATCTGCTAAAAACGCACACAAAATGGCCAAAAAGTCAAACTAGTTTGCTTCTCTCTGTCAGAATACGTTTTTCACTATAAATGGTTTACTCTACTCTTTTGGGTATTTTGGATACTTGTTGGAAAGTTTTTGGAGTTACTTGTTGGTAATTTTGGGTTGTGTGTTGTTTAATGTCTCGGCTTACCCGTGGCCACTGCCGGGGGCGCCTTGCGATCATCATCTTTTCATTTGGGAATTTGCAACGATTGTTTTGATTTTGTTTTTTGGGTTTTTCGATTTACATGGATTATTTGATATTCAATGGTTTGGTGCCATTTTTGTGATATTTGCGGGGCAGAAGAAAGAATTTATTAATAATCAATTGAAAGGAGACAGATTGAGAGGATGAAAAAGAGAAGAGCAGAAAGCCTAGCAGGAAACAGGATGGAACCCCAAAATATTGAACACCACATGCCCTTGCAGGTTGGGGAAAACTACATACTGAAATACATATTCCGAGGAGATTCCCTCTCCCGGAAGAATCCTACTTGTCTTAACTAAAGTCATAACGAGCTATAAGAGGATTAAAATATATGTAATATCTACGTTGATTAGATTAAATGATATTTATGCGTAATTTATACGTAATCTAGTACGTGCATTGCCTGCACAAGTGTCATTGGTTGGAAATCGATACATCACATTCCGCTTTCAGTCCGTAAAAAAAGAAAAGAAATTAAACTGCATGCTCAACTATTAGCAATGGATGATTTCGCTTTACATGATCTAAAAGTGAAACGTGTGTACATAAGGAAATCGGGGAACTTGAGGTTGAACTCGAGGAACTTGCATGCCGGACAAGTGCACCGGGTAAGATGCCAGGAGTTGGCTATCGGGATTCAGCCAAGGAGAACTGGCCAAGGACATACCCGAAACAGCCTCCAGACACTTGATGAAGATCTCCATGTTCCGCTCGCAGGTGGCCTCGTTCAGGTAGAAATAGGTGCGAGCACTGCTCACCTTATACCGCCGATCGGCGAAGGACTTGTCCACATGGTACTGTGGCATGCTGCCTTCCTCCTTTTTGTCGCCTGCACTGGAAACGGAAGATCTGGAAGGGAAATAGAAAAATAGGTTATTAACACTCATTTATTAAATAGATGAAGTAAAATTGAATTTGTAATTTAGTAAGTGCAACTTACTCAACTTCACGTTTCTCTGCCTCCTCCTGGGTGATATCCTCCTCAACGGAATAGTCGAGAATCGGCTTAACGCCGAATGATCTTAGTCTGCAAATGTTGGAATCGATCAGCTTTAGTTTTCGACTATTGTTTTGAACACAAAGTATTAGTAAGATAAAATAATTTTGAGTATGGTTTGGTTAGCGGTTCGTTGAGAAAAAATGCATGTGAATAATATATAAATCGAACTGTTTTGAATTCTGGTTAGCAAGGGAGCAATTTCGGATTGGATAGAGTAGATCTCACATGCTGGCACATGACAGAGGCTTTGGATTGCCGAATAATTCAGTTTTTATTAGGTGCTTGGACAGAACTTTAGATTATTAGTAGCAACGTGTGTGCGTTGATAAATATCGTGGATTATATGTACATACATATATGGATATCGTCGAAGTAATATCTCTTTAAAGACTTCATGATATGTTTCATTAACAAATTTTATGTATTAAAAATGTAATATTTTGAATTGGCATCTCCGAAAAATGAAGCTTATTTTGTATTTTATTTTCTGTATTTTAATAAGTTAAAAAACAAATTGAATGTTACGTAATTGCTTTTATGATAAAAAAGTTTTAAAAATAAATCGAATTGGAAGTTACTGAAGTTACTTCGACTAAAACCATATGAATTTATATATGTATGTTATCGGATAAATTGGGATGCATGTAGTGCTGAGGGGGAGGGGGTTAACCTCTCTAGGGCGGGCACGATCGTGTGACGATTCTCGCCGGCCACAAAGTGTCCGTAGAAGCTGGACTTCATCAGCAGGACGAAGAGCTTCTGGCCGAGCAGGTTGCGCGCCAGTTTCAGCAGCTGTTTATCGGCGTAATCGTTGATTTATCGATGATTATCGGGTGTATGTATTTATTTGTTTGATTGTTTTTAAGGATTCCATTACAATACAAGTGTGGGCATTTAAGCGGGTTTCGCATAACCGTTTCACAGCCCGAATCGCGGGCAAAATAAAAATATGAAGTAAACACAAAACCATAGAGGCGGCAGAAAGCAATAAAGAAACGGAAAAAAAAGAAAAGAAAAAGGCGATAAGTGAGTGGGAGTATCGTGGTGGGCAATTACCTTTCCAATGTGGGTATGATCTTGACTTGATCCTCGCCGGCGACAAAATGGCCATAGAAGGTCGCCTTCATCAATGCTGTAAATAACCGTTGACCCAATACGTTCTTTGACCATTTCATAAGCTGCGAATTTTGCGTTTGTTTCGATCGGGATTATGCGGAATATTTAGTAAATTTTTTTTATTTTATTTATATTTCATTGTTCGTTATTTTGTATGCGGCGGCAAAGACTGATTTATCTTTTTGAGTCAATAAAATTATAGTTTAGCCAAGGACAAGGACTTCTTGGAAGGTAAATAGAAACACTATACCATCGATTCTAGCTGAGATCTCTCCTGCATTTCTACATCTCCCTGTTTCGTTTTATTTTTCAGCGACTGGATCGGGCATAAATCATTTGGAATTTGGCCAAACGACAAAACAAAAAACGTGAACCGAGTCAAGGCCAAAAAATCTTGCCAAAGTCCAACCAAGCAGCGTGTGAAAGGCGAAGGAAAATGCGACAAGAACTGCGGAGGCGGCAATGTGTATTATTCTTAAGAGGCTGCATGTTATTTGAAGGAGTGCCAACTCAGCACGCACATAAACATTCGATTTCCAAATCGAGACAAGCGGTCAAAGTAAAACGATCCATCGCGGATCCATCAGCCCAACCAGAATTATAACGCAAATAATTATGACGGGAAATGAGACATTTCTGCCAGGGAAAATATGACAGCTTCCTGTTAATATCCATTAAGAGTTATATATTTTAAAATACCAAGAGAGATAATCAGGACCTACACAGCTTCCCACAGCTAATATATGTAGCTTATAATAGAAAATATGTGCTAATAATGAAACTTTGTTAATAAAGTCTTTCCAAACAAATAAACAGATTTAAGAATACAAATATAAAATGATATTTAAGTGAATAAGCCATATATAAAACACGTTTTCAATCAAACTTTTCTCCATAAGAAAAACTATAAAGTGAAATAATAATCTCACATAAAAAGTTTAACGTTTTAAATAGTTTAATAATAAGCATTTATGATTTGCATACAATTTTCGTTCTAGAAAATCCATTCTAAAATTGGTAACTCAAAGCAATGGTAACATTTTTCTAACCAGTGCTTAAGAGAATCCAAGAAATCAGGAGTCAAAATAATCGAAAACTGGTAGTGACATATTTTCCAAGGGACATACTGTCAGAGGAATCTTACTTGGCAACCTTTAGCCAGTCAGGAAAGGATCATCAAACTTTGGGGTTCACTACATTTCCAGTTTCTCCACTCATTCTTTACAATAAAGAAAGCGGAAAAACTGAGAATATAAAGAGCATTGCCCTTTGATAAATGTTTCCTGGGCACGTGTGTGCTCCGCTTGATGCGGGATCCATCACATGAATGGGATTCAGAGAAGAGAAGAGCAGACAGGAGACAGTCTCCGTCTGGGAAGAACCGGTTTCGTTGACAGCACTGAAGTAATTAATTGAGTACAAAGCTTGGCAAATATAAATACAACATCAGCCAAAACTGGTTACATAAAACAAATTCTTGTTTCGTATTCTATTTATTTTTTCTTTTCTTTTTGTTTTTTGGGTATTGTATGCTCTCTGCTTTTTTTTTATTGTTCTGCACTTTTTCTTTGGCAAACAATACGAAACCGAGGACAGGTGTTTGCCGTTGAGCTCTGCCCCCAAGAAAGAAAACACCTCTGGTCACCTGTTATCTGCCTCCTCCCACTTTCACCTCGCTTTTTACCCATCAATACCCATTCTCACACATCACGAGACCCATACCGCTCGGCCGCCAAAAGCAATCGACGCGATACTGTAAATAGAAACAGCGAAAAAATGAGTACACCAAAATAAACTATCATGGGATTTTCATTCGGTAATGGTTTTTTAAAAACAACTTCTAAAAAATACAATATTTATTTATTATATGATTTTTTGGTTCATTACTGATATAAAAGAAATTTACTTTAAAACAAACCAAATTGATATTTTTGATTTCATTAGTATATTTCTTTAGTGTATCGAGGGAATTGAAATGGTGGAAGTGGGATATGGTCAAAGTCGATGCCTGACTAATGCCACATGTGATGTGCTAGGTCCCAGGGAGCTGTGAGAATAAAACGTATTCCCTACGACAGCCATTTAGCCACCCATTTATGCAAATTGCATCAAGCAGGGGAAACAAAAATAAATAAAAGTCTTGACGACGCATGCACTTTGAGTAATCGATAAGCAATCAAACGATCGCATGCGATTACAACGCCGACGTAATTAAATAGAAACACGCAACCGAAAGCGGGGGAAATGCAAGAGCGGTTTTCCAACGATTTTGATTGGCGCTCATGCGGGGGCCTGACTATATAATGGCCTATACTATATTTTCTACATAATCCATATGTGTCGCTGAGCAAATACGCACGAGTTAAGAGCAAACAACGACAGAGGCAAGGTCACCATTGCATCGCCCATACACCCCTCGGCAATTTGCATCGCAAAGTTTTCCCTTTTTCCTGCCGTCAATCAGGCACTCATTCAATTCTGCTGTGCGACTAAAGCACCTGCCAGAAAGTGGCAACAAATGCAACAAGCAATTAGCCATGAATTCATCAAAATGAGGGGAAAAAATAAAAGCTCTCTGTCGCTCAAGAGAATTGAAAAGGGGAAGGAAACGAAAAATCGGAAGGATGGCAGCCAGTTCCTCACACGGGGCTTGGCCGCAAGGAAAATTAGAATCGAGTGAAGCAGCAGGTGGAAAATTCTTAGCATAAAGAAAGCACTTGGCTAAGTCATTAATTCATGAATACAAGAAAAATCGGCACCTGTTATACCTAAGAAAAGAAATAGTGAATCCATCGAACGGAATACAAACTAATTATTAGTTTAAATATTTTGCATCTTTAAAATCAATCAGTTAAGAAACCTTATACGGTTATCTAGCCACACTAGAAAATATTTTAAGAAAATGACCATACATTTCAGATTATATTCATTGCAAATTGTACTAATATATGTATATGATTTAATAAATAAGAATAAGAAGTGACTAATTAGATAAAGTGAATTAAGAATCTTTCAATAAACTCAATTAGCAAAGGTCTCACTATCAGCTAATCCTAACAGGGACTCTTCTTAATTTCTCAACAAACGGAACCAAAACAGAGAGATAGCTCAGCTAGGCGATAGACATGACCAATAGATGGGTCAAAGGACGCAGGACTCGGCAGAGAACTAAGATCGCGGGAACACGGGTCAACTTACCGTCATGTTGTGCTCGACCAACTTCTCGCTAGAACAGATCATGTAGACCAAATACGCGCGCATTAGCTCGCCAGTGGTCTTGCTCTTGAAGGCGGCAATTGGATCGTTAAAGGTCACGTCCAAGGGATCCCTCTGCGGCGAGCCAGCGGGAGAGGGGTTTTTCTCCTGGGAAGATGATTCTCGCTTCACCGTCTCGCTGGACACCAAATCTGGTTGGACCAGAGTGGAGGCCTGCATCGGCCGATCGCCGGAGTGCAGGTAGCGGGCCCCATTGATTACGTTTGTGGACTCCGATGATGCTCTTTCTCCAGCGGTGATAGTGCTCCTCCTGTCGCGCTGATGAAAACTTCGGCAGGCGGCGGCGGCCAGGGAATTACTCGACTTGCTGCTATTACGGCCGTAGACCAAACTGATGGCTGTTCGTTGGGCGCTCAGCGAACGGAGTAGAGCCATTACAAGGGATTCTACGGCTTATTTCGGCTATCTGCTGTCCGAGTTCTTAAAAGGATATACTCCGGATACTCCGACCTTGGCCTTTGCTGTAAAAAAAAGAAGAAAAAGCAAAGACAAATTAGATGTAATTTTACTATAATCTGCACCTTTCACTACGATTCTGGAGCACAGTGACTTATGTACTATTTTACCAAAAGGGATTCGAAATACTCCACGGTATATTTTTTATTAAAAACTAGCTAGCAATCTATGTTTATTCTAAAATTTCAAATTCGACTTTTAATTTGTACGATTTAAGATAAGTTGGTATCCCCTTAATGCCTGCGCCACTGATCACAGCTGATTTTACCCGATTTACAGAGAGCTTTTCGGTTTGTGTCGCTCTTTCCCTCTCTGGCTCTGAATGTTATACAACAACTGCGAAAAACGTGTAGCGGAGGGAGTGAGCTGAGAGCGGAAGAACGAGAGAAGCCGAAGAAGCACAACAACACAAGCACACGTACGCGAGTACACCTTCGAAATGTTTAATTAAAAAAATTCAATTTGTGGCCCGAGATCTATCTTTGCTTTTATGTGTCTTTATGATTTCTTTCTTACTTCGCTTTTATTATTTATTCTATTACGCTTTGAGCGTTGTATACGCCGCAAAAGCACGACACCAAATGCGACGAAGACGCCAGTAAAAGGGGCGAATTGAGAGACAAAACTCGGCGAATTTAACGAAGCGAAACGAGGAAGGACACGAAGGCGAGAAAATCCTTTTCGCCTCTTCGCTCGTGTTTATGTAACTGTGATTGTAACTAGAACTGCGTGACGTCACAGGAATGCGAGCCCCTTTGGTTTTGATTAAGCATTTGTTTTGATTTCATTGAAATGCGCCGCAAACACACACTAATTGGTGTTAATTGCGGCTCTCCTTGATTCCCCCCATTTTTTCTCTCTATTTTCCTCGTTATACCCCTTTTTTCGTTTTTTTATTAATTAGCTGGCCGCTAAATAATCGCCAGACGAGAAGCTGCAATCAAATCGAAAAAAAAAACTTGGCGGGTTTCATTGCACAGATTTCATTACACTTCATTATGGTCTATCTAAATCTCTGTCCCATTCTGGCTGCCTTGGACGGAGGGAGATGGAGACTTAAGTTAAATTGCGAATTCATCAGAATTGTTTTTTACTTTTTCCCTTTTTTTTGTTGCTATGCGGCGAATTGTACCTATTATATAACACTGCTGACTTCTCTCTTCCTCTCTGCTTAGAGATCCTTTTATGATACGAATACAACACTCACATTGTAAAATTTCTCTTCGCTTTCCCTGCTTTTTTTTTTATTTTTCTTTGCTTTGCGGTCTCCTCTTTGTATCCCGGTTTCAATTTTGCCTTTTTTAAATGATCCTTTAAAAAACAATCCAAGATACATATGTAGATAGGGACAAACCAAACATTAAAAACAAAAAAAAAGAAATAAAACTATTGGTGATTTTGTTTGTTGAAAATTTTGTACGAGCACCAAACAATTTTCCAGAAAAAACATGCGTGTTTGACAAACTTTTCACAGCAGCCTGAAACTTTTCAATTTTGTAGTGCATTTTCTTACCTCACAAGAGACACACAAGTACAATTATAATAATTATTTTAATACTTTTCGAGTCTATGTTGTTCTTTTCGGGGGTTTTTTGGTTTTTTGTTGCTGCTGCGCGGGAGAGAGCGTGAGAACGCGCGAGAGGGAGAGAGAACGACTGCAAGGGTCTGAATTCGCGAACAAACTGAAACAAATGAAGCGAAATTAAGGCCAACACGGCGAAAGCTCGTCCAAAAAAGCTTGCGAGAAATGGTCAAAACGACTGTGTGGTACATACGAAGAAAAGGGGATAGGGACGGGCCAAAAGCGGAGAGTAATGAAAAGCAAAAGGGGGGCGTGGCGCACCACCCCCAGCAGCTGTTTGCCTTGCACGTGAGCGAAAAGAAGAAGTAAATTCGTAAATTAATCGCCATCTTGTCCACTTTTTTGCCCAATTAAAATCAAGTCGCTTATCTACGCCTCTGGCGGTTGGCTAGGAATAATTCTTGTTCTTATCTTATCAGTGGACTCCCCCTCTACGGCTGTCTCCGCAAACTCACGCTCTCTTTTCGCTGCCGATTACACGTTTCCTCAGCCGGTAAAATTCAAGCTCCACTGGCATATGGCAACGCTGACCGGGCAAACAGAGCACAAAGCTGTCCAGAAATTTATCGATAAGTAAAGCCCTCCGAAAGTTTAAATTTCTGTTAAAAAACTTGAAATCATTTTCGGTATAAGTTATTTCCAAATGTCCATTCGAAATAATATCCAAATATAAGTCCAGAACTAATAAAAATAACATAAAAAAAAACTCTCGCTCAAAATGTTTTATATCAATTTCCTGAGTCTTATGGTATAAAATGTAAGCCTTCAAAAGCAAACATTGATTTTTGGAAAAGCTTTTGGCAAATAAAGGTTAATATGTCTAAAAATAATTGCTGTTAACGGAATTCGAATACTTTTACAAGCTCGCCATAATTAATGAAATTATTTAGGTTAAATAAGTTTTTTATAGCAATTTTGTTTAACTTTCGTGAATTTACACATAATCCTTAATACACATGCTTAATCTTTAATAAGATGATTCCAGACAATATTAACCGCCAAACATTATGACACCCATTGTAATAAAAATTACCATGTGCTCACTTTTAAATGAATATATTTTTGTTTGCAAATGGTTTGCGTTTTGACAAATATAGCAATAAATTACGACTACATATTAGAAATAATAATAATTAACATTTAATGAGCGTTCGGCTTTTGTTGTTTTTGCTGCTTATACGAACACGGCCCAATAAAAGGAGAAACTTAACAAGAAAAAAAAACAGAACAAGTTATCTAAATACCAAATATATAGATATATGCGTGTGAAACTGATGCGGGCTTTCTCCTGCCGCCATCATACATAACAAACAATACATAATTCGCTACCGTCGCGACTCTCCTCTCATATTCTCTTCTGCTGGCTCGCTTTTCTGTTTTTACATAATATTATTGACTAAATTGTAGATCAACGAATGTCTGTTTTTCCATATCCATGTGGCACCACCAGCAAATAGCTTCAAGCATTGTAAGTATCGAAGAGGGGTGCCTAACTTAACTGCCAGATCATCATAAACTTAACTATTTTGGATTTTGGTTTTAGATAAATATTTTAAGGTTTCCAGATGAATATTTCATTTGAAGTTGTGTAATAATGTACATCATTTTAAAAAGTTAAGAAAGTGAATATTTCGATAAGTCTGCGATATTAACTCGAAAATCATATAAAAACCCATATAAAAGGTTTACAGTTTTAAATGGAATATAGCGTGGATTTTTCTTCTCTGATGTGAAAATTTATGATTCACTTTTCAGGGCACGCAATTCCTCTTCATCAACAAATAAATAAAAATTAAAAAGAGAATATTTGGAATTTTTAACACAATTATAAGTAAATCTTTCAAGTAACGACAATCTTGCAGTTTGTGGATTGGATTTGGGCTAACTATTTGGTGGTAATGCTAAACGACCAATGGTGATAATGGTGTTGGTGGTGCTACTGGCGCTAGTTGGACTTGGTCAGTTCAGTGCGGTTGGCGGCCACTTCGGCCAGAATGAGTAGATCTGAGGTAGAGGAGGTCACGTCGAAGGCCGCCTGCGAGGATAGCGACGAGGACGACGACGAGGAGTTCGAAGACAGCGGTGGCGACGCCGACGACGAGGTTGCAGAAGCATTAACCGCTTTGGGCGTCTCACTTGGATTGAAGTAGTAGCTGCCATTGATGGTCAGAGGCAGAATGGAGGCTACTTCCTGTTCGATGGCGCTGACGTCGCGCCGCGTGATGCTTTCTTTGCGTGCCTTGCGTCTTTGGCTGCCCACGGCCTGTAGTTGCTGTTGCTGCTGCTTAATCCTCACTAGGTGCTCACTGGCGGCAATGCATGCTCCTTTTGCCGTAGCAGCTGCTGATACTGTAGTGGAAGCTACCGATCCGCTGGTGCTGTTCGAGTTTCTCTGTTTCTTGCTGCCACTAAACTTCTTCTTCTTTTTGGTGCTACGCTTCCGTTGCAGGTAAGCATCCAAACTGAGCGCCGGCAACTCCTTGATCTTCTCCTCAAGATCGAAAAAGCCACTGCTACTCGACTCAGAAACGCTCCTGATATGCTTTTGCATGGAGTCCGGACAACTATCCTGGCGTTCCGGCGGCGAAACGGGCGGCGTATTGGGTCCCGGATTCAAGGGGATGTCTCCAAAGTTTCCACTTATATTTCCTGCCGGTGGCGAACGAGCCTTACTCTTCTTAGCTATGGCTGCAAGTTGACCGGAGTTGACTAGCTCCTGGTATATCTTGCCCTTACAGGAGCGCGATGATTTGGCCTTCTTACTGGACGAACCACTTATTGCCGCCTCCTCCTCGCTGGAGTTGCTCGAGTTGCTGTCTGGCAAGGACCGCTTATTGGCATTCCCAACCTGATTGCCTGTTGGCATGTGGGCGGATAGAAACTGGCTAGTTTCGCTAAGCACCTGCTGCAGCGCATAATCTTTCTCCTGTACTTGGACTTGCAGTAGCGAGCTTAGCTCGCCCATCTGTGTTTCGTCCGCCAGCTTAAAGAAATTGCGGCGCAAAAGAGCACGCGGCATCTCTCCGCGCTCTGCCCACTGCAGTTGCAATGGAGACGGCATTTGTTGGGGCTGATCCTCGCTGGGTATGACCTGGCCAGTAGCCGCGTTGCTGGGACGCGTAGCCAGCGTTCGCAGAGGCGGAGCCGGTAGTTTGTACCACTTAAAGTTTGGGTTGGCATTGAAGAAGGCGTCCTTGTTCTACAAATGGAAATAAATTCGTTTAGAACCCTTAATCCTTTAAAATTAAGGCCAAGTAAGCAATTTATAGGATTTTTTTTTTTTCAGTATTGCAATTTTTAATGGTAAGATATCCCACCTGCTGCGCTAGGTCCGTAAAACAGTGCTTCTCCTGCTCGTCTAGTGCTGCCCACCAGTCGCCCAATATCTTGGTGATGGCACTAAGAGAGAGAAAACAATGTAAGTTATTTTCTGGGAACCTTATCTTTGCAACTGCTAGCACCCACCGGTTCTCCAGGGTCTTATAGCGCTCCTTGACAATGCCGCGGTGTCGCTTGCAGAATATGAGGAACGCATTCATGGGGCGGCGGGCATGGTGCTCCGGTCGTATGTTATCCGTTGGCTGATCCTGCTGATTCTGCTGCGGTTGTACTTGCTGTCGATCTTTATCCTGTTCCTGCTGCGGCACTGTGACTACGTCCACGTCTACATGCTCTTCGGCGGCCTCGCGTCGAATCCGTGTTACCTCCTGCTGCACTGGCAACTGCACCTGGATCCCCTCCTCGTCTTCCTCCTCTTCGTCGAGTTCTATCTCCTCTTCGTCGTCATCGTCTTCAGTGTCGCTGCTGTAATACTGCAGCTTCGCATAGTTGTGCACATCCTCGATGCGTCGAAAGGCATTTTCTTGGTCCTCAGTGCGCTGCGGCTGAGGGTTAACTAAGGCACTTTTGGCTGTTTCTGCTGGCGATACAGGTGTTTCAGCTTCTCTGACTGAAGTTGTTGTATCGGCTTCTCCTGTATTTGATGGCTTCTCTTTGGTTCTTGGCATGGGTAGCCAGCGCAGTCCGCTAGCCCCTATTTTGGAAGCTCCCTTTGCCGCAGCAACACCACCTGGTGCTCCTATAATCGGCCTTGTAGCTGCGGAAACCATGGGAGCAGATCGAATTGAAGTTCCAGGTTCTGCTTTTTTGTAGGCCTGTCTTAAAACTCCAGAACCAATGCAAACTCCAAGCAAAGGTGACACTGTGGTCGAATTTTGAAAAAATTGAGATACACTAGGTGCACTATCCACTAAGCTGACTGTTCCTTGGGCAATGCTAATTGCCCTTGGTGTTCCTGATTCTAGGGGAGGTCCAGCTTTCATAGCGGAATAAAATTTTTTAAGAGTTGCAGATCCCTTGGAACCACCAAGGCTCTGGATAAAACCAGCCCTTGAAGTCTCTGACCCTGTTGTTGGAGAAAGTACCATCGAGCTCCCTAATCCTTTGCTGGCACCGGTTGCTGCGATTGCTCCACTTGATTCTCGAATCGTCTCGATTACTGTCAGCACTTCCCCCGTTTTCTGATTGTTGCTCATTTTTTGCTCCACTGCTTTAAGGCCACTGTAGTTGTTTTTGTTGTTTATGTTGCTTGTGTTGTTGTAGGCAAAGTGCAATTTAATTGCAGCACCTGTTGGCGTCACCTGTGCCACCTGCTGACCACCGCTGACGCTTAAGCCGTTGATCATGTTCTTAGTTTTCGTTTTCCACCTATGTATTTGTCTAGTCGCGATCCTCAAACATACTATGCTGGAAATATAGAAAAAGTTGTTTGTACTTTTTTTAGTAGGTGAATTTCACAAATGCAAGAAAATGGCGTTGCCAATATGGCTGGAAAAAAACTAATTGGCAGCTCTGGATTTTGCGACATCGAGTTGTTTACAAATTTCCAGAGAGAAAGGGATAGCAAGAGAGATCAGCTGTGCATGTGTATGTGCGTTTTGTGACGCCTTCCCCTCGCTCTTTCTCTTTCATTCCCATACATAAGTTTTAAAAATTCCTCAACAAAAACAAAAAATGATCGCATAAAAAAATCGTTTTTAATATTATGAAATGAAAGCAAATAAGATCGTACATGCAACAACAAACCCGATCACACAGTATATATGTAGTATAAAGATATTTTCAACACAAATAAAACATATAACAGACGAACGCACTCAAAGAAGTTACATTTCCTTTTCGATTTACAATATTTTACAACACTGTTTGATAAGAGTAACAATACCCGCTGTACAGGGATTTAATTTTTATGATCAATTAGACGAATTTACATAAAACTTTGTGACATATACCATCCGATTTTGAACAAAATAATTCGGAAATCGATATTTTTAAAATTGAAGTTCGATATGTAAAATCACATACAATGTTTTTGTTACTTTTATCTCGGCTCACAATTTACAAACATTCTCACTGCTTTAATACATAAACTCGCTGATTCCGTTTAAGTTTCGCAATATCTCTCATTAAAATAAAGCTTAATAATAGTTTTAATATTGATAAATACTTGTTATATGTACTGCTATTGCACAATTATGTGACAAACAAAACACACAAATAAAGAAATGGAAAATAAAAAAACAAAAAACGAAAACAGGCTACGTGTACAGCTGAGTGTAAGCTTGTGTGAGTATGCGTGCGAGAAGGAGAGCACTAGAAGAGAGTGTCGAGTGCGTTGCCTTCTCTCTGTTTCGCACAGTTCGCTTTGAACTTGATTAAGCCCATTGTTTGTGCGAGCAACGCACTGCCTTTGTTGTTATTGTTGATATCTTTTTGTAGAAAAGAGAGGGGAAGAGGATCGCAGTACTGGCGTTGCCATCTGGCCTAAAAAGTAAAGTGCAGCTGTCAGCTGTTGGTTACCGTTGGCCGTCGCTCTCCATCTCTATCGCTCTCTCACACACAGATGCACACGGTCAAGGCCAAGTTTAAAAAGGGGCGGTGGGTGGTAGGAGGAGGGGTTGGTCCGTTCATAACCTTCAAACGGTTAGATCTAGTTTTCTAGGTTAGGTTTTCAACTGCCTCTGAAATGCAATCATTTGATTCCAATTTATTGAATAAATAACAAAAAAAATATTAAACGGCACGCATATACAAGAGCACTGTATTTTCCCGCATATAAAGCTCACATACACACACAAACAAAGAACAGCTGATGACGTTTGTTATTTTGTGCGCGTCGCTTATTTTTTGAGTTTTTTTTGCACAAAACAAAAATCCTTAATGAAAAGTGTTTTTTATTGCCTAATCATAAATAAAAGTTTGTTTAAATCGCGCTTTACTTGAATGAAATTACTGCCTCGAATCGAAGACTCTGCTCTCGTTTAATTAAATTTCAATGTTGATGATGTCAAATGAGAATGAAAACTGACTGTGTTTTCTGTTTTTGTGTTTTTGTGCGGCGGCCAGAGGCAGCGACGTCTGCCGACGACGATGTGGATACGTCGCCTTGCACTATGGGCCCGATCGCCGAAATATTTTTGTTTTCAAAATTTCTGCTCTGTTGGATAAGTTTTCAATTTTATAAAAAGATTTAAAAACATGTTTTTGAAAAAGTATTAATGACAAAAAGTACTTGTATTGTTGGGCAACTGAATAAAAACACAGTTAAGATGACTAAAGCTTTTGTGATATTTCGAACAATTTGAATATGTCTTATTTTTTTTCGAATATATAGCTGGCTAACTTTTTTTGTATAAGTAATGGAAAAATATATAACCCATATGAGAGGCATAACATCGAACACAAGTTTATTCCACAGTGCGTGGCGTCGCTGCTGACGTTTAATTGCGCGCAGCAACAACAACAATACTAGCGAAATGTATTTTATTTTACTTTTTCTTTCTGCAGGCGCCCCTCTGTGTGTCAGTGTGTGTTAGCTCCCATATCCGCAACGCATCCATATTCACACAAACACAATCACCAGTCTCTCTCAAAAAACAATAACAAAGTAGCCGTTTGTCGAGTGAGAGAGAAGAGTGCAGCTGTCTCTAATGCACTTGCTGCATTCGCTCAGCTGTTTTCAATTTGATTTTGTCGTTAGCGGGAGAATCGCGAGTTCAGTTATTTCTTTAAGGGGGATTTACCAAAATTAAAAACTTAAAATCCGACTAGTTTAAAATAAAAAAAGACACGGAATTAAATCAAATTAGCATTTTTTTTATCTCTTTACGAAAAACCAAATTTAAAATGAATTAAAGTAAGACAAAAATAAGGAGGGAGAAACCTTATATACAAAGTTACTTAAATACATAATAATTTAAAAAAAAAAAGAGTAGAAACAAAAGATAATGAAAATCAAGGAGTACAGAAAATGGTTAATGTTCTGCATTCTACCAGTGGGAATGGGTTTCTCCTTTCTTGTTTTTTTTTAGCAACAAGTTGATAAACAATTGCAATATTTGTGTGTGTATGAGAATACTATATACACTATATATGATCACCCCCATACCGATTCCCGTGCTTTTTTTATTGCATAACCACATTTAACAGTTTTGCTCGAACGGTTGCCGATTCGGTTTGTTTGCAATTTGCATTTTTGCCCAAGCCAGGGGCAACAACAATGTTATTGTTTTTCAAGGTCACGCACACATGCACAGCGAGATGAACGACAAAACAACACCCACCCACCGCCACCCCCTGCAATTCCCCACTCAACCCCCAACACTTCAGGTTTGGAGGTTCACTTCAGTTCACTCTCCTCTCTATTTTGGCTTGAGAGAGCGACACAAGCGACCCCACAAATTCGGTATCTCACACACACAGTCTCCAACACACAATGCACTCTCGGTACAGTGATCCAACGGTTGACCCACAGAATGATCTACACGAACTATTCACAAGCTATTCTATAAACTAGCTTGTTTATAAAAGTTATTACTAAGCATAATGTGTAATTTTAATAACCTAAGAATTTTGATTACATACGTACAACAAATCTCTAAAAAGAAATGTGTGTAGAGGCTTAGCCGTCATTCACTTAAAAAATATGTATAATCAGTTTTGTTCTGTAATTTTTATTGTGAAATGATTAAAAAATCATTGCTTCTAATTCTTGTTATTTAGTTTTTCCAGTATTAGTAACAAATTGACGTATAACAAAACTAACGGTTGGCTTATATGAAAGTTCATAAAACGAAGGATACACTTCTTTGGGCGCACACTGTATTTACGTATGTTTTTGGGGCAACTGGGATACCGTTATGCACTATATCTAGCTCTTTCTCTTTCCGTATCTCTATCGCCTATGTGTATGATTGCATGTTGCTTGGTACCAGTTTTCAGGGTCAGGGAAATTCGATTTTCTGTGTCTGACTGTCTCTGCTTCTTCTTCTTCCTTGTGGCTTTCCTTCTGTGGGCGATCCACTAACAACAACAATACTGTCAAGGACAAAATCGAATAAGGTATAGAAAAGGTTAAAATGTTAACAACATTGCACCTTAAATACCCTCTCTCTTTATATTAGTATTAATTAGTAGATTTTTATAGTTTCTTAATAATTGGCATTTTTAACATCAAAACCCTTTTCTTATTTAAAACAAGAGGAAACGCTATAGTCGAGTGCCGCGACTATAAGATACCCGTTACTGTTTTACACAATTTTAAAATATTAATTTTGCTAGTGGAAATTCACAAGGCGCCACCTATTGTCAGAGGAAGTATGTTGAGTATGCTTATAGTGACGTCACTTCCCATGTGAGGCCTTATAACCTTAATTTCTTCATAAATAGCGCAATAATGTTCCGATTTGAAAAACCTTTGGCAAATCGATAGATATTAACAGAAATAAGTTATACAAGGTCAAACAAAGGCATTCATAATAATATTATAGACGCCACAGTTTTCCGCGGTTTGTAGGCGTTAGAGTGGGCGTGGCCAAATGCAACTTCGTGGCAAGTTGCAGAGGCATCTACTAAATATGTGTTTCTAAGCAAAATTGTGTAGCTCTTATAGTTTTTGAGATTTTTGCATTTTTGGTTTTTCGGGTTTTATGGGCGTTAGAGTGGGCGTGGCTTGATCGGAAAAAAAAAAACAATTCGCATTGGCAGCATCATAGAAACCTACATGGTTAATCCGAACTTTCTATTACGAATAGTTACCGAGATATCAGCTTTTCTAGAAAATCCGAAAACCGTCTTTTGAGCCTTGTGGGCGTATGGGTGGGTGAGGCCGGATAGTAGTACTACTATAAGATGCGCTGTCATCTAAAGATTATACTTTCTGAATTTCAACTTTCTAACTGCAATAGTTCCTATGATTTCAGTAATTTTAGTTTTTTGCGATTTGTGGGCGTTAGAGTGGGCGTGGCAGGATGCTGTAATAAACTTGCGCTGTCCCGGGACCTCAAGAATCTTCATGCTTAATCTCAACTTTGTATCTGCTATAGTTCCTGAGATCTCAGCGTTCATACGGACGGACGGACGGACGGACGGACGGACGGACGGACGGACGGACGGACGGACGGACGGACGGACGGACAGACGGACATGGCTCAATCGACTTCGCTATTGATCCTGATCAAGAATATATATACTTTATAGGGTCGCAAAAGCTTCCTTCTATCTGTTACATACTTTTCAACGAATCTAGTATACCCTTTTACTCTACGAGTAACGGGTATAAAAATATTAAAATATTTAACTTGTCAGAAGATAATTGATTATTCCATAAGGCACTTGCTCACGTCGTTCTCAAGACGGTTAGAGGATATTGTCTTCCGTTCTCAACTCTTAACTTCGCTCTTAACTAATATAATAATATATTGACGGGTGCTGAGGTATTGTATTTGCCTTCTACGTGTAGGTGCATATGACTAGAAGTGTCTAAATTAGATTGCTTTTGTTACGAAAAGAAGTACAAATATAAATTAGAAAAATTAAAAATTTATAAGAATCAATTTCATTTTCCAAGTGGTTTTTTTTTAGCTTCAAATCAAAGTTATTTGGTTAAATCAACTAAAGTAAAAAACAAGGAGAAAACATTTCATATCTATAAGTAGTGCAAACGTTTTAACATAAAGAAGTCTTCTAAATATTATTTGAACATACAACAGCTTTATAAAAGCCATAGTTTGCAAATATTTACAAATCTTTATTTAGAATACATTTTAAGAACTAATATCACCTACGCAGTACACCAACAAATTTTAAATTTTCATACATCCTCGAATCTCGCTATTAATAGTTTTACTATAGTCTTAGTTCATTTTAATGTTAACGAACTTTGAAAAGGGGCGTTCCACGACCGCGCCCAATTTCGCGACCACACAATTATAAGACGGAATTATTCTATTTTCAGCCAAGAGTCAAACAATGATAAGAGGTATCGCACAAGCCGCAGAAACTAAAGAGAAAAATGGGGGCGGGTGAAAAGACTACAACGATAAGCGGCAGTCCCTCCCCGAGATATTTTTAAGACGATACTCTATATATATTCAGGTTATTAAAAAAACATTTACATTTGAATGAGCAATGCAAGTCTCTACAATATTTTTTAGGATCAATTAATTTCAGATAAAGATGAAATATTGAAAAAAAATCAAAAAATCAAAATACAGTTTTAACATAAAATAAATAAAATAAAATATTCCTCGTTTTAACAATGTAATAATAAAAAGTATTATCATTTTTTAAATATTTCTATTTCATGTTAAA